TGTTGGTAATGGGTTGTTTGTAAATATTAAATAGCCATCCTATACTTTAATTGAATTTTCACATGTTTAATGTAAATTATGGAAAAATTGTTCATCTTCCGTTTGTTTGTTATTACAGAAACAATGACATGGGAACCTCTCATTTACTCAACTCTTGGTACTTTCTTCTTTAGTGCTTCCAAAATTTCCCCTTGGAATTGGTACCTTTACCATTTTTCCAGGTTTTAGAAGTCTCTACTTTGCTGTTTATCTTGAGAATTTATGCCTGAAGTCATGTTACCTGTTTTGCCACATTTTCAAAGTTTCAGATTAGTATCCAATTGTTAAGTTTTGTCTTAGTTTCACCTTTGAAATGTTGGTAATGGGTTGTTTGTAAATATTAAATAGCCATCCTATACTTTAATTGAATTTTCACATGTTTAATGTAAATTATGGAAAAATTGTTCATCTTCCGTTTGTTTGTTATTACAGAAACAATGACATGGGAACCTCTCATTTACTCAACTCTTGGTACTTTCTTCTTTAGTGCTTCCAAAATTTCCCCTTGGAATTGGTACCTTTACCATTTTTCCAGGTTTTAGAAGTCTCTACTTTGCTGTTTATCTTGAGAATTTATGCCTGAAGTCATGTTACCTGTTTTGCCACATTTTCAAAGTTTCAGATTAGTATCCAATTGTTAAGTTTTGTCTTAGTTTCACCTTTGAAATGTTGGTAATGGGTTGTTTGTAAATATTAAATAGCCATCCTATACTTTAATTGAATTTTCACATGTTTAATGTAAATTATGGAAAAATTGTTCATCTTCCGTTTGTTTGTTATTACAGAAACAATGACATGGGAACCTCTCATTTACTCAACTCTTGGTACTTTCTTCTTTAGTGCTTCCAAAATTTCCCCTTGGAATTGGTACCTTTACCATTTTTCCAGGTTTTAGAAGTCTCTACTTTGCTGTTTATCTTGAGAATTTATGCCTGAAGTCATGTTACCTGTTTTGTCACATTTTCAAAGTTTCAGATTAGTATCCAATTGTTGGTAATGGGTTGTTTGTAAATATTAAATAGCCATCCTATACTTTAATTGAATTTTCACATGTTTAACGTAAATTATGGAAAAATTGTTCATCTTCCGTTTGTTTTTTATTACAGAAACAATGACATGGGAACCTTTGGCCATGGAAGTTTTTGAGGATGCTTTGCCCAGAGCTAGAGCAGGCCACTGTGCTGTGGCTATCAACACCCGTCTCTACATTTGGAGTGGTCGAGATGGCTACAGGAAAGCTTGGAATAACCAGGTTTGACTTTTTGTCTTTATGGTCTACCTAAGTTTCATATGAGGACACCGGTTTTAGTTTTGTTTCAAACAATGATTGATTAAAAACATAGGTTGTTCACTTAAATCTGTAAGTTCCTTGTCCTGTGCCAGCCCCATCTGTCCATGATGTTCACTATTGCAGAAATGAGATGTGTGCAGAGTATGATAGATCCAGCACCTTTTTCTGCTTTCAGTGTGTCTATGCACATGTCTATACTTTTTTGATAGACTTATGATTGAAGTCATCGGGCATGCAATTGCTTTATATTTATGGTATTGCCTGAAAGTGTAAACAAGAAAAATGTTTTTCGTGGTAATTCCTAACACCTTGTTTCACTGCTTTTTATTTATACAAATTCATTTTATCTTTGTCAAAACAGGTTTGCTTCAAGGATCTCTGGTTCCTTGAGACAGGTGAGTTTTTCATTGGAAGTAAATATATGATTGAAATTTGTGTTTAAAAAAGGATTCTGAATGTAATAAGTGGAAATAATTTCGTCTAGTCATTTGATGTGAATGACTTTATTGTTAGTTCTGTATGTATTTGGTTGAAACAGTTGTATGGAAGTTAGTATTATATTAGAGGATTGGGAGAAATAATTGTTTCTTTTTTCAGTGGCATGAGAGAGAACAAAACATATTCATGAAAGTCTTCTGTAAATTTGTATCACTTAGAGTGTCAAATGAGGGTCCGACCAGAAAGAGATAGGCTTGTTTCTTATGGCTTTTGTTTATTGAAAGCCCGCAATTGTTTACTGAGTGAGCCAGTTGCTAAGTTAAAGCTGAGGTTTACTGGGTTTTTTATTCTTTTGGATTTCTTTTTAGTTCTCGCAGAATAACACCCATGTATGTACACACACAAATGATTCCTCTCATGACCTCCCCCTCCTCTTTCTTCACCTTGTCAACAGAAAAGCCACCAGCCCCTTCCAGGGTCCAGCTGGTGCGCGCCAGCACAAACACACTGGAGGTGTCATGGGGCTCGGTGCCCACTGCGGACGCCTACCTGCTCCAGCTGCAGAAGTACGACCTGCCCCCGTCCACCTCAGCGGCCACCAGCACCACCTCGGCTGCTGCCACCACCCCCGCCATCACGGCTGCCCCGGCCACCCCCACCACACCCACCCCCGCCCCCGTCACTCCTACAGCAGCCGTCACACAGACCAGGCCCCAGTTCCAAGTGACTGGACAGCCTGGCATTGTCCGCACACCCACGGCCGGTATGTGCTGTCATTTTTTTAAACGTTCATTTTGTGTGTGTGTGGTTTTATGGGGGGGTTTTTCCTGTCATCGTCTTCATGTCAATTTTCATCTACAGTTGTAAGATATGAAGTTCTTACACTAAAAGTTGCATAGCTGCCAACCAGTGGGTAAAAAATGTATTAATACATTTATGAGGGTCTGAGTGTGTAAGTACGTTTTTGTGGAGGAAACTACATATTTTGTTTCCAGTATTGCTCCTCACTGACTTTTCAATGCTGACAAAAAATTATAGCTTTCAAAACAGGATTTGTGAATGCCCACGGTCGGTTGGAGAGATCCGTTGCTGCAGGTGCATTTTGAATAGCTTTAATTTATTAAATGCAGAAAAGTGTGTGTAAAGTCGGGGGGGGGGGGAGATTACTTGTCTAATGCCCACCATCTTGACTCGTGATATAGGTGGGGTGTGGGGATTGTTTAAGAAAGTTGGGAGCTATGAAGTTGTGACTAAAGAATTTTAACTCAGTAGAGGTCTTGTGTTCTTCAAATGTGTGATTGTGTATATTGTGTTACTTGCTGTGTCTTTCTTTCTTTCTTTTTAAAAATGAAATATTTATTTCCATTACCTCACAGCAAGTTTTTCTGAAAAAAATGTACACTTACTACTGAGTGATGTTCTATTCACATAGCACTTACTTCATGTAAACTTACTCCTTTTTGTTTGAATCTGGCTGTCTCATAATGAACTTGCTGTGTCTAGATCACCCATTACCACTAGCATATATATTTTTACGTAGATTTTTCTTTTCTTTTATTGACTGCACTCCAGATCTGTAGTTGGAGCTGTTTTGTAATTTGTTTGTGTGACGCTGGAGTAGTACTTTGTGTACACTCATGTGGACACTGAATATTTAATTTCCCTTTTTTAAAACTTTTATTACATCCCCTAATTCTTATAATTTACTGCTGTTGGTTTATGGAATGAGTCCTTCAAAGGTTAAAACTGCTATAGGGAAGCTTGCCGTCAAGAATTAAGTATTCAGACTTTACATAATTCACCATTTTGATCATTTAGTAAGTGTGCGCCTGTGATTGGATGAGAATTACTGTTTTGTAGCAGAAGAGGAATGGGATAGCGCTCTGGAGCAAATGAAAAGGAAATTAAATGTTCATCTTAAATCGCTTTTTGCCGCTTTCAAAACCACACCTTGATACACATTAGACGGATTAACTTCACACTTCTTCGTGGCTCTCCCCTACCCCCCTCCCACTATTCACTGTCCGATTTCCCCGCCGCCCAGGCCTGCCCATTCGCACCCTGACCACTGTGGTCTCCCCCCTGCCCATGACCCTCGGCCAGTCTCCACAGACCATCAAAGGTAGCAGTATATGCCTTTCTACGTCGCTCTTGCATTCTGCGTGCACGCCTGCGACTAGAAATGTTACTCACTCTCGCATGGCTTTCGCAGCTCAACAGGTCTTTTTTTTTAATGTTGTGTTGGAACTTATTTTTGTGTTCCCATTTTTATTGGCTTTATTCTTGGTTGGGCTCCCCCTTGAAATATCTTGTAAGTTTGGCTTATTTTAAACCTATTTATTGGGATGGTGTGTGGTGATATTGATCCTTCCCCCCACCACCCCTATTGATGCTCATAACTTGTAAGTGATGATGAATTCAGTTCTTCACTTACTGCACGAAGGTCTTAATGTATTTTCCTGATTATTTTTTTTATTATGTAGGTATCTGGTTTAATTCGCATTATGGACTTTATTTTTAAAAGGTTTCCATGGAGCATCGTTTTAAAAATTCCTCTTATTTCTTTCCTCCTGCCCCACCCTTTTTTTATTGAAGCATGAATACTGATACATTGGCCGGCTTTCGATAAAATGTTGATAAATAGTAAGCAACATTTCCTCTTACCCACAGAAGCAGCAGGCTCTTAATTTCTGTTACTGTCTAAAACAGCTGAGGAACATGGCAAAGTTATACCTCAATAGGAGCCTATGAAATCACCATAAAGCCAATGCTCCAACAGTATGTAGGAGAATCTCAATGTATGGCTATGATGTAGTAGTTAGTATGTCATGGTCTTGCAGATGTTTCAACACAATAAATTCACTCACAGAATTAGAAAACCATATCACAAAGATGAGTTTTGATAGGAACTATGAATTTACTCTTTGTCATGAAGGAGGATTAACACTTTGCCGTCACATTTTGGGGAAAATCCAAAGAAACTGGGTGGTAAATATCGCCAATCTGCGAGATGAGGCCGCAAAAAAATTAAGCATAATAATTTTCGTATTCAAGAAAAAAAAAATTAAGCCCTTGCTTAGCAGATGTGTGCCTGTTTTAATTATGCCCAGTCATGCAATGATCTATCAGGCTTTTGCTGTTAAGGCTGCTTCTTTTTTTTTTTAAAGCTCAGTAAACCTTTTTTTAATTTAATTTTTGTTTACTTTTGTTGGTTGAGATTGTCATCTTATCATCCTAACCCAACATTTGGAGGTTCTTTTTGAGCAGGGTTTGTATTTTTTGTGGCTAACTTTTACCCCTGTTATTGTTTGCCTTCCTCTTTGGTCTGGTTTTGTCCTATTCTATTTACTTTTACAGTATTTTGGTAGTCATCACACACTGATAGAGTGTATGGAACAGAGCCAAAGCTATCATGTATTTATTCTTTATTTGGAGCAAACAAAATTGTTTGTTCTCCTGCAGTTCCTTTTTAATCATTTCTAAAGAAAGCAACACTTGTGCTTCTAACTCGTGTAACATGAATATGATAAACTAATAACAGCTGTGGCTGTGCCGTGTGGCAGACCTAGATTATGGAGACAGTTTTTAAAAATGACTTATATAATGCATGTTTAAAAATCAGTGGAGTTGGTCCATATTTCAGATTCAAAATGACCCCTGGACTCATTATTTGTGTCATGGTTTAAGAAGAGTACGACCAACACAAACAGAATAAGTGTTGTGGGTGTATCCATACATCTGCTGGTATATTTTAGGTCTTTATTCGATAAATGAAGCTTGGTTGGGGTTTGCGAAGAGTGTAAGGTTGATTTCTTTCTCAAAGATGTGTTATTTCAGCAAAGCCATCTTAATCATTCTGACTTTGTTGAAAAAGCAGAGTAGGGAAGGAGAGTCTTGAGTAATCTTCTGTCGGTAAATATAAATAGAAAATTCAAAAAAAATTATTTTTTGTCTGTCAACACTGCTCAATGTTTCGCCTCATAAACTCTCCTAGTTAGTTTTTTTAGTTTTAGTAAAGAGTTTTACAGCACTTGCAATGCAATAAGGTCATATAAGTGCTGAAGATTAGAGGTGTTACAAGAGAGTAACAACAAACGTAGAAAAGAAGGAGGAGAGATAAGGAGGATAGATGTTTAAGAGGAAAGAAGGAGCAAACCACACCAGAGCACCCGCCAACCACCCACATAAACTCTCCTCAAGGAGCAACTGGGAGTAAACCTGAAGGCAGCACTGTATATATATCATAGTCATTCCGTCTTTGGTGATATCTGAGGAGAATTGTTTTTGCAATATTTCGGGTCTTGATTTTTGTGTGTGCCAGGAGGTTCTTGTAGTTTGGCACAAAGGACAAAGATTCATTTTAAAACTGAGACACACAACTTTGGTGCATACGAAATGCTTTCATAGCGGTAGTCTCATAAGCCCTGAAGTTTATTTAGGGATGTATATCAGAGATCAATCGACAAAGGCATCTACATGTTTGTATCCCTCTGTGTGCTCCACAATGCCTCTTTTACTTTGTTGTTTTATTTGCTTTTAGATTGAGTACTCAAAAAAAGGGGTGTTGTTATTTTTTCTTGAAAAGACATTGAGCCGCAGCCCTGCTGAATGTATAACCACTGTAATAACTTACCTGTTGTACTAACAGTTTCAATTTTGGCATGTTGATGGTTTGGTCATTAGTACACTTGATCATATATATATGGTAGCCTTCATTCAAATCATGAGGGAGTTGGTTCTGAAAATCTTTGTCTGGAGCGATAATATCAAATGTGCGAGAAATGCTGATTTGTTTTTACGTTTTCCGTCTAAATGTTTTTGTTTTACATCTATTTGTCTTGTATGAGCTGATATGATTAATGTGTGTGTCTTGTCTGCTAGATAGAGATCTTGCTTTGTACCTTAGAAGCTAGTTCTTTTTACTTGTTTCAAAGTAATGGTTATACATAATGGTCTCTCTGGTCAGTGTGATAACGACCAAGGTGTAAGATTTATTTCCAAATCAAAACTTTGATTCTATGTTCATTCAGTCTGCGTTTTCTTTCTTTCTTTCTTCCTTTTTTCTTCAGTTAAAAGACATTGAATCCACAATAAAATTGTTGGTTTTTCCTTTACCTTTTCATCCTCTCTCATCTATCTCTTAAAACAAACTTTTTGTGGATTTAGCGTCTTAAATAAATTAGCTATACGTGCTAAAAATCAAAGGTCCGAGTTGTTTCTCTCTAGGTTAATTTTTCTTATGTGTCCTGTAAGGACTATATTTGTTTGAAAGTTAAAAAGTTTTTTGACGTGCGCAGAGTGTATGTGTGCCAGTACATTTTCCTGATTGTCGGGTCTCTTCTTTTTTTTCTTTCTAATATTGTTGGAATGTTTTGATTTCCTTACAGCAGTGAGCTAATTCGCTGACATTCCACTCTAGCTCGGTTCTCCTTCCTCAATTATCTTGGTTGTTTGTCTAACCAAGAGATGTTTTGTTTCTTAGTGACGACAGCACCTCGCATCCGCGCTCCGATGACCATCACTCCCGTGTCCAACACCATCCGCGTTGCCACCCCACAGCTCCCCACCATCAGCCAGGGTGTTCAGAGGGCTGGAGCAGTTGTTGCCACAGTGAGTCCACCTTGTTTTGTGGTCCTTGTGTTGTGCCCTTGGATGGGAATTCTTTGGGGGGGGGGGGAGGGTTCTGGTTGATCAGAGGAGTGTTCTTATGCCATGTTCGCTGTGGAGGCACAGAAATTATTCTCAAATACTGAGGAAGCGGCATTTATAGGATAATAGGAGCAGCTTCAGATTCTGAGATGTGTTTCTAAAGATAAAAGAGAAGGAATAGTTAATTTGTTTGTTCAGTTATGTTTTTATAAGTATTGTCATGGGTATAGGTTGGTTTAGTTTTGAAGGGATGGGTGGGTTCATACAGTTTTCAAGCGAAGACTTTAACTCTTTCTGGACGTGCTGTGAGTCCACACCCCTTGCGGACGTATCGCTGATATATCGGCTGTGATAGGGTGCCTCAGTATTGTTTCGTTTTAACAAGGTCCGTCATTTATAATTACTTTTTGTTGCTATTTAAAAACTCGGAAAAGATTTAGGAAACAAAAACATCTAGTTTCACTTTGCCAAAGCGTGGGTTTAGGGAAAAATGAATGGATTAGTTCTTGCGGTCTTGCATCAACAAAACGGTGTAAGCGGACTCAGTATAACTTTCATAAATCAAACAAAAATTAGAATATATTGCTTTCAAATAAAAGGCTGCGCATTCAGAAATTTATGGATTATGCTCTTGGCCTGTATATGAAAAGATAGCTATGCTGATTTGCTTTCACATGTTTGGTAAATGTAATTTTTTGTGTCAAATTTTATTTTTCTCATCACCATCGCCATTTCTAACCCTTCTAATTCATACTTATGTTTAAAATTAATCCTTACTTTATAGTGGGATGTATTCCTCATTCAATGTCCTTTAATTTGATATGTTATATGTTACATTTGGGTTATGGTTATGCTTCTATGAAGTTATTTTGTACGCCACCTGCATAGCCAAATCGAGCAATCGGTTAATTATGTCTAGACCCCCAAAAAACTGTGTTGAAAGCGTTAACAAAGATCACTTTCCACAGACTTCTGGCAGTATGTCTGGCATAGCCGCCCTGGCTGCTGCAGCGGCTGCAACTCAGAAGATCCCCGGTACTCCAGCCAGCGCCACGACAACACCAGCATCTGGCATCAAAGTTGTCACACCGACAATTGTTACACCAGGTGGCATGAAGGTGACTCCTGTTGCTGGGAAACTGCCAGGTAAGGCCTCTCATTATAGATCATTTCTTCTTGTAGTATGTCTGAGCAAAGAGAGAGCTAAAAAGTAATTCTACCAAGGGTTTGTGGACCTTGTGATTTTATTGTGGATGCAAAGGTCCCATATCGCATAATGTAGCAATGCCAATCGCCCGCTGCGCTTTGGGCCGGAAATCGGCCTCCGGGCGAGGGGTATTTTTTTGGGCCCCTCGGAATCAGAAGTGACTCTCTTCTAAGTATAGTTACGGGGAAACTCCTGGACGAAAATAAATGAAACTCGGCAACCAACCAGAGGAAAGGTTAAACTAACGACATGCCAGCGTACAATCCCGAACGATTACTAGAACCGGAGATATTGCCGTGTTTGTGCGAATTTCCTCTGCGGTTCGAAAACTAAGCGGAGCTGTGGGTTGATCGCCGACCACACAAGCGCCCCACATGTCTTCTTTATTGCTGTAAAATTTCAGATCTCTGGGTTTAGTAGATTTTCCGTACCAACTTAAAATTACCACCCATCCATTGATAAAACACTAGATCTAGAAACTTGATCGCGCTTTCCAAACGCGAGGTGCCGGCATGCAAGAGGCGCGTGATCGCTAGGCGGCATGTGATTGGCTGCCTATAACCAAATGGGTCACCGATGACTACATCGCGGGTTTTCCCGATAGCGCTTTACTGAGTTTTAGAAGGGGTGATCGCGTCGTGGTAAAAACGATGTCACGCAATTCAACAAATTTTACGCAAATATCAGTCTTTAAGATCCAAAGTAATGAAGACATCGAAAAAGTGATAGCAGAACTAGATTCGGCACTAAAAAATCACATGGAGATGCCAAGTTTCATTCATATGCTCCAATTCATTACTGACTTATGAACAGTTTTTCCTCAAAATACATCAAAACATGTCCCACATTTTGGCGATTTTTTCCTATATGAAGGTCCTCCAACATTTTGCAAACAAAAATCCCAATAACTTTTTTATTTATCAATGGATTTTTAAAATTTAAAAACCATAGTTCTTAGAATTTACTCTATTTTCATTTAAGCCCATTTTTAAGCATTTTGGATGAAAATTTAATTTTTCATTGTCATTGCTACATAATGTAGACCTGCATGTTTGCCGACAATCGTCTGAAATCCGACAATCGCGACCCCGACCCGCGAACCGGCCGATGCCATCGCTAGGCCCACCTGTGTTAGTCAATGTTCGAAGTACGAGGCCTGGCCGTGTGCCAGCGACCCCTTTTTCTCCCGTCGGCTTTGTCGGCACTTTCGTTTTCGTGTCGACCGCCGACGCGCGCACCGCCGACTGCCGACGTCGGCGTTTCCGACATAATTGTCGGAACCTGAGTAGAAATACGAATACGAAAAAGTACGACGACTTAAATTATCTACTTTCAGTTTCTTGCTCGAGCGGCCATTTTGAATTTCGTTTGTTTACTGATTGTTCAGATCATGTGGATTCTTTCAAGTCCGACTCACTTGTTCTACTCTAGATCTAGATCGAGATTTAGATCTATATAGATCATTATGGATCTCAATGGAGGATTCATATTCCAATTCTATTGTGTCAAACCATATTATAGGTTGTGCTGTAATATTAATGTTGGTAAAACGCATTTTATCAGGTGCGTGAATTATTTACTTAGAATTAGAACAAAGATATCTAGAGATCTAGAAATCTAGATCTAGACTAAATCTAGATCTAGACCCCTAGACTCAACTGAATCCCTCTCTTCGGAATCGGATGCGGATTTCTCGTTCAAGGTCTAGATTCTAGATCTATTCCTATTCACTTGTTCTACTAGATCTAGATCTATATGGAGGATTCATAGATCTTTATCCAATTCTATTGAATTGTATCAAACTCTAGCAATGTAGGCCATATTATTTTTATTATTATAAATGCTCCTTGTTTGTTTTGGAGTGTGCTTATTTCTTTCTTTTTTTGTTGTTGACTTGTGCTGGCCTTTTTACATGAGGGCCGTTGCAGGTTCTTTTTTGGGTTAGGCCTAGGAGTAGGCAGATAGGGTTTGGGTTAGGGTTAGGTCTCTTCTTTATTGTGTTTGTTCGGGTGGTTGCTCGTTACTCGGAAATCCTTCCTTTTATGACACCCACAATTTAAAAGCTCTAAAGTTAATATGGGGGGGGGGGGGGTTGCGCAAAATTTTCAGACAATCTGGTTGAGGCTCACATGCAGGTCTAATAATGAAAGATGAGTAAAGCTAGTATTATCTAATTAAACCTTGTGAAGAGCAAAAGCTCAGCTGCTTCTAAACCAGTGACAACACCAACACTGAACAATGATCAGTATCATGGAAGTTTATGGATTTTTTTGTATTTTAGTGTTAAGGAGACCAATATATATAGTTTCTTTAGTTTAGTAGAGTTTTTCGGCACTTACAACACAATAAGGTCATATAAGTGCCAAAGATTAGAAGTGTTACTAGAGCGTAACAAACACAAAAAAGGAGGAGAGATAAGGACGATGGATGTCTGATAGGAAAGAAGCAGACCACACCAGAACACCCGCCAACCACCCGCATATAGTGACCTTGCTGTCTTCTGTCACCAGGTAGCACCTTGGCCCCTGGCACACAGACCGTGAGAGTGGCCCCAACAGGCGCCACCATCCTCAAGACGCCTGGCTCGGCCACAAACATCGCTGGCAAGCAGATCATCACCGTCCACAAAGCTGGAAACACCGGCTCCAGCCAGTCGCAGATAGTGACGCTGGTGAAGACCACACAGGGCATGGCTATGGCCAGTGTGAGTGTTGTGCTCTTGTCTTTGCTTTCTGTGTTATGGGGTTTTCTTATTTTTTGTTTCTGTTATTGATTGGGGGGGGGGGGGGCATCGAGAACAGATGTTGTGTGTTGGGGGGGGGGGGGGGGTTAGAATAGAGTGAAATGTGAAAAATTGTTCTATACTTGACATGTCTTGCTTTATTCAAATTCAAAAGTTTTCGGGGTGCTTTTTGGTTTGTTTGTTTTTTTATTCTGATCTTTTTCATCATGTGTGATATATTCTGTCTTTCAAGTTAAGACAAGAATATGTATGGGAAATGTTTATGCAGTCTTTCCCTTTGTAAGAAAAGAAAACTTGAAATTATAAAAGGCGTTTCACTGAGAAAGAGAGAGATATTCTAGCTTTATCCGTTGTGCCAACAGCCCAAGAACCCCCTGCCACAAGGGGCTACCATCGTCAAGCTGGTCACCACACAGGCGGGAGGGATCAGCAAGCCGGCCACAGTTCTGTCCACTCAGTCCAGCTCGGGACAGACACCCACCATCCTGGGCATCAGCAGTGTCCAGCCAAATGTAAGGCTTTGTCGTCTCTTGACTTGTGCAAACATTGTTGCAGTGATATTTATGTATTTATTTATTTGTTTGGTGTGTATCATCGTTGTAGGATCTTGGGGGTGGGGGGGTCTTTTTGTTTTTAAACAATAAATGTACACAAAGAGATGGCTATCATCTTTGCGATAAGTGGGTTTTTGCCGGGGATAACATTATTTCTGTTTGTTTGTCTATGAGATTTACGCTGGACAAGAAATTACAAGTATACTGTTACATGTGCCACTGGTGCTAGGAATATAAAGAAATAAACATTTTGAACTTTAGGTTTGAGCATGCTGTTAATAGTTTGTTGTTTCTTCCAGTCGAGTCCCGGACAGAAGACGCTGACCACCATGATCAGAACTATCCCAACCTCCATGCTGTCCATGGCAAAGAGCGGTAATCAGGCCATCAATGCCGCAGGAGTGACCACCACACAAGTCGGCACCAAGACTATTGTTATCGCAGGTGAGAGTTTTTTCTTGGTTGTCACAGAGAAATCAAGGACATAAGCTTTACATTCGGGTCTTCTTGACCAGTTTCTTGTTTAGTCTACTCTATTTACATCTTGTTCTGTCTGTTTTGCCGTCTTCCTTGTCTGTTTTCCAGTGAAACATGGTTAAGTTTTGCCAGCCTACTATAAACCGCAAAGGAACTCTTATTATAATATTTATAGCATCTGCGCTTGTTGACCCTTCTCTTTAGTTTAGGTTGTAGCTGATAAATCTTTGCATCTTTAGGTTAGTGGCATTCAAACTCAGCATTTAAGATAATGGCGCTCTTTTGTTTTTAGCTCAACAATGTTTGTTGATCTCTTTGTTTCAGCCCCCAAGGGCAGCACGGGCAGCCTGAATCAGCCCACCAAGATCATCACAAGTGTGCCCAAGCTGGCGGGCCAGTCTGGTAATACACAGTTCATCGTGGTCAGCCCCCAGAGTGTGGCGGGAGCTGTGGCAGCAGGTCAGTGCTAGGAAATTAACAACCTCGTCTTGCTCTTTTTATTTTGTACCTCAGCCTTTTCTTACTGTTTGTGAACTATATTTCTCTCTGGTGTTTTTGTTTTTCTTACTTTTTTCATACCTTAAATGACTGTTATTGTGTGGATGTGCCTCTCTTTAAACAAACAACTAACGTGTGAAAGTGTTGGATGAAGAATACAACTTGTACTGTATAGCCGTGTCTGAAGCGTGTTGTTTCCGGCTCTAACTCCCGTTTCTTCGTTGTCCTCCTCACAGGCAACAAGCCAGCTCAGGTGTCGGCCATCTCATCCGGAGGGAACATCATCTCTCAGGCTGGCAAACCCGTCATCACAGTCATTTCTGGAGGTAAGGATGGGAGTGTTGACTCCTAGGTTTTGGTAGTTGGGAGGTGTTCTGAAGAGTTCTTGCCTCTTTCGTTGTGGTACATTTTTATGGATGTGTGATCCTTATTGTGAAGCCTGGCTGAACTCTCTTAACTCTACAATGACAATTAAGCTTTGTTGATATATCTCAGGGTGACATTTTACCTAAAATATCTATAGTTTGGATATATTCTGGAATTGTATTAGTGCCCAGTCCCAGGTGTACATTAGGGGAAGACTAAGAATGATAAAACAAAAGAATTTAGACATTCATGGTTCTATTAAGGGGGGGGGGGGGGCGCTACACCCCCAAAATCAAAACTCAGCTCAAAATCATGGAATTTGAGTTGTAGGCATTTTTAGCTTCCTCAGCTTCTCCTACAACTATTTCATGGCATAAGAACCCCCAAAAACCATATTTTTTCCCATACTGGGCCTGTTTGTAACCGCCATTTCCTCATAAAGTCAGTATTTTATTTTTCTTTATCGGCCGTTTTCTCAAAATGCGACTTTTCTCTATACTTTTTTGAATAACTCCACCATTTTGCACAGAATGAAGAGAAGAGGTAATACTAAAAATTTGTCTGTTGAATTTTTGATATATGGAATAGATTTTTGTTTATGGTGTCTGGAGTGTGGATTTTCACGGATTTTTCGCGAACTTGAATGCTACTTCTAAGTCGATTAGGGAAAAAACAACAGACAAATTTTTAGATCTAATGTTTGTGAACACGCATGCAAAAAAGCAATCAATTTCCATGAGCGATAAGTGCGGTATTCATTACGTAAGACATGTCAATAAAATCAAATATGGCGGCGTATCAGTGGAAACGAAACTTTTTTCTCAAATTTGATTGCGGATTTTAAGACTCCTTACTATGCTTGTTATGTGTGTGAAATTTGGTAAAATTCGGTCCAGTAATAAGCGAGATGGCCTCCAGGTGTAGCCCCCCCCCCCCCCTTAAAGTTTTGTTATCGATTCTTTAGCCCCTCCCTCCCCAATTTCTCTTTGCACATTAATTGTATAAGCTCTCACAGTTTAAAATCTTCTCCTTGATTTCTCTCCCTAGGCTCCACATCTGGTACGCCCTCAGTGACTCCAGCCACTGGTCACACCCTGGGCACTTCCCCGGCCATGCGTGTGGTCAACAGCAACGCTTCCACCATCTCCCTCATTACCCAGGCCACCAGTGAGGCCGGATCAGGGGCCGCCACAGCCACCATTGGTGGCCGCCAGATAGTGACAGTCCCTGCAGGCCAGGCCGGTTTGACGGGTGCCAAGGGTCCCGTCCAGATCACCATCACTCCCGCCAACCGTGGCAACATCTCCACGGTCACACTTCCCTCGTGCATACGTCAAGTAGCTAAACCGGTCGTGGTGGGGAACCCATCGGCCAACGGCACTCAAGTTGTCAGTCTCGGCGGAATGGGCACGGCTCAAGTTGTGGCGGTGAACCCGGCCCCTGCTGCCATGGCAGACCAGGCTCAGGTGGCAGAGGCTGTTGGTGAGGCTGGAGAGGGTGACGGCCAGCAGGTACTGCAGCAGTTTGATGGAGCCGCCGATGACGATTGTCTGGAGACGGTAATTGTTGACGAGGAGTTTACCGAAGACGAGAGCCAGTATATCACATCGCCAGATTTTTGTCTGGATGGTTGTGTCGAAGAAGATGACACAGAGTTCCGGGTTGAGGACACATACATGTTCCCAGACACGGGGGATCATGGGTATGCATATACGCATGAGGACAGGTACGACAGTGATGAAGACTTTCAGATGCCTCAGTTTGACGGTGCTGGCGAGGAAGGAGGTGAGGACGATAAGGAAGGAGAGGAGGGTGTGAAACAGGAAGGAGAAGAAGGAGGCGCGGACCAGCCGCAGGAAGCAGAGCAAGAACAGGCGGAAGGCGTGGTTGGTGAGGCAGGCGAAGAGGCCATGGAGGGTGAGGGCGCTGCGTCAGGGGAGGTCCAGCCTCCGGCTGAGGATGCTATGGAGGAAGGTGATGGTGGTGTGGCGGGAGGTCTCGATGGTCTGGTAAACCCCGCAGTCGCAGCCGACTCCACTAATGGCGCGGAGAGTCAGCAGCTGACCGAGGCGGAGTTACAGCAGCAGGCAGAGAGTGCTCTAGAGGCGTTGGCCGAGGCGGGCGGTGTGCTGGGTGACCAGGCCGTCATGGACAACCTAGAGGGGGTCCTGGCCCAGCAGGCACAAGCGGCCCTGGATGCGGCCAATCAGGCGGCCACAGCCCAGGCGCTGGGTGAGTTGGCGGCGCAACACGCTGCTGAAACCCCCGAGGAGTTGGGAGATGTCAAGCCAGAAATAAATGAAGAGGCGGCACCGACAGCTGACCACTCGACGGGTACAGATACGCCCATGGACACTGACGCAGCAGACCTGGTCCCTAAGGAAGAACCTCCGGACGAGGCTCTGGCATCCCTTGCTCAGAGTCTCGCCAACGCTGCCAATGGTGGTGCAGACGGATCTGGTGAGATTTCTGTTCCGTTTTTGCTTTGTTTTTTTTTATCTTTAGAGTTGGCCTTGTGCTACAGTGGTTTCTTTAAATTGATGTTGGTTGTTTCAACATGAAGGATCTAGTAATTGTGTGCTCTCTGGAGGATCTCTCTCTCTCTCTATCTCTCTCTATCTCTCTCTTTCTTCTGGCGCTGTTGCTTCATGAACGGTCAGTGATGCCGACAGCACGCAGGAACTCAACACTAGCTCGGGGTCCTTAAAAAGTGTAAATGGTAAGTGAAATCTGTTACTGACCCAGAGAGCATGTTTTACAGTCATGTCTTAGTGGTCAGGTGGTTTGGTTTTTGTTTCAAGTGCTGTTGTAATGTGAATATAATGTTCCTAGTACATGTATGTTTTGGGGGGGGGGGGTTCAAAAATTTGTTTTTAATTACCATTTTGCTGGACCCTTTTTTTGAATGACGTGGCTAGGCCCGTCTACCCTATTGTGTTGTATTATCGCTGGTCCATGAAATCCTTAGTCCTCAAAAGTCTGAAAAGCTTTTGGATACCAAAGATTTAAAATATCCACATGGTTTTTTAATTACATTGTGCACGTTTTTAATTTTTCTCAGATCCCTTAGCGACACTGGCATCAGCTGCCATGTCATCAGCCCCAGTGACGACGTTAAAAACCTCAGACGCCAGCGTGGGTGTGAACAACGACGTGGGGCAGGAGGAGGCTCGTCACGAGGTCAAGCAGGAGAAAATTGTTGTGAAGCGGGATGCCCAGCAGTGGTTCGACGTGGGCTTTATCAAGAGCACCTCTTGCACTGTCTCCCACTACCACCTCCCCTCAGAGAACGGCCAGGGCAACACTGATGTGAGTGTAAGGATTTGGGTTTTTTCTCCTTCCTTGCTTTGATATGTTTACTTACTCATTTTTTTTTTTGTTGTGCGTTTACATGATTGAAAATCTTTATTTGTTTTGAAAATGAGGGCAGATGAATGTTATAGTCTCTCCAGTATGGTTTTTCTGAGACTTTAAAAAGAAGAGATACTGTGCTTTCACATGCAATGGTTCTTCGAATATTTTGCCAATAGATGTTTTTACATTAACTTTTCTTTTGGGGAGGGGGGATTGTCCCTTTTTACCATGGCAGTATAAATCTTGGGTCGTCTTTTTGGATGGCCATTTAGTACAGAGGTATTCATCGATTTAACCCTATCCGTACACCTGAGGTCATTTCGTACCCCAGGGATTGCTCTTTGTTTTTTTTTCATTTAAGAATACTTCTAGTGTAAAAATTTATTTGAAACTTTCAGTATTGCTGAACTATTCATTTTTGACAGATTGCTGTGTAAAGAAAATCACACCAATGGTCTCATTCTAAAACGACCATTTTGGCACCCGATGGGGTCATTTGTGCCCCCACTCTCCAAAGAGGAAAAAAACCTCAGTTATTCTGGTATTATCCGTATCAAGCGGGGTAACAAACGACCCCAATGTATCCCCTGCATCGAGTATTATAGTAATGGCTTCGTAAAAATTTCCCAGCATCTGGATTGCTGCTGGGTATCGTTCACGCTCTTGTGGTTGAGCTGGAGATATCCGAAGGCCTACAAAAATAATTATACAGTATAACACGGATAGGTCGAACACAGAAGACCCGAAACCACGCTTCCGTCGAACTGTGCCTGTGGTCCCGATTTTTCTTTTTCTTTATCTTTATAAGGAAATCACGTAAAGCTCAAACACAAACACGGAATAGTCGAACTAATTACGCCGCCGTAGAGGTCGAAAGTTGATGTCCTTTGGGGTGCACTTGAGACAGAATAACAATAATAATCACAATTTTTTAAAATATGGGAAAAAACAGGTTCGGTGAAATACCACCTCACACATATACACACACACTCACCCCTCCACAGAAGCAGCTAGCTATGCTATTTTTAGCATGCTACTCGACACACATGTGCATACCTGGGCCCTTTGTCTAGCTAGGCTGGTGAGGAAGGATTGTGCATCACTGTCTATTGTCTTGCCCCAAAGGTAGCAATCTTTGTTGCTTCCCCTGGTTCTTGATGCAGCCGATGCTATAACACTGTTCACGGATCCCTCGAACTACCGAGGCCGGTCCTGACAAATTCGAGGAGCAGTGTGTGTTATACTGTACTACGCTTTGTATTGAGACTGGTTGTTTTTTTTCTTTGCCAAGTTGCCCTGAGACTGGTAAGTAAATGAATCTCTCTAAGTTTGTTTTTATTTGCCTGTTTTAGTTCTCGCGGTTGCTTTTTCTTTTTGCCTTTGCTATCGTCTGCCTTTTCTCCTTCTACTCTTTGTTTATCAATCTTGTGTCACTCTTCCTGTCATTACAATGTCGTATTTTGGCGTACAAAGTCAAATGAATGTAGATCGAACCACACAATAGAAAATTGATGTTGTGATTGAAACTGATATTATGTAACGAAATATATAAGTTATCCCCGTAATGAATTTGCTAGGCCCAGATCTAAGCTACACTTCAGTAGGCCTATGCAGTTTTCTCGCCCCCTTTATACAGAATGCAGATCACTTGCCACCCTCTAATAATTGTAATCGATTCTAACTGCACACTGGCGAAAAAGCACTGAATACTTGTAAATCTAAACATCAAGCCTGGTTGTACTGGTGGAAAGGCAGTCGTATGTCGCTTATCTGAGAATCTGTTCGTATGATTATGTATTGCCTGCATTCGAACCAAGCTGGTGTCAAATTTGAAGAGAGAGGACTGAGGGGAGAAGGAATAGTGACAGAGAGAAGACTAAATCGTTTCTTTTTCTATTTTCCCCTCAATGTTTAGATGGAACGACATAATGTCTTCAACCAGTATCCAGTTGTATGGGGTGGTGATGATGATGATGGGTATGGACAGGAGAGTGATGTGGCTAGTGAGTCGGAGGATGATATTCTGGGAAACGAAGCAGAAAAGAGTGATGTGGAGGAAGTGAGTGGAGAAGAAGAGGTGGAAACTGAAAGCGATAATGGTGACGATCAGCTGGAAGTGGTGTTTCAACCTGTTGAAATGGGAATGCTTGATATGCCACATGCAGCTGGGGAACCTGCATTGTCAGACAGTGAAACGGGAGTACCTCTGCACTATGCAGGCAAGGATGGGATGCTGTGGTCCAGGGTTGCTCCTACACAAACACCATCTTTCAACATATTCAAGCCTCCAACTGGGCAAGTGATGAATCCAAGATATTTGCTGACAGTAGGCGCCACTTACAAACGTTTCATCACTGCCAAGATGATAGAAAGAATCGTCTTATGCACCAATAAGGAAGGAGAAAAGGTTGAGGGTAATAAGTGGAAAAAGACAGACAGTACAGAGGTTGAGGGGTTCATTGGTTGCCTTTACCATTTGGGGGCCAGGCGCGATGCCCGCACCCCAACCACTGTCTTGTGGAACAGGACCGATGGCAGCAACTTGGTACAGGCTTGTTTCAGCAGGGCTAGGTTTTTAAAACTATCCCACCACCTGAGATTTGATGACAAGGACACTCGCAGAACTAGGCGGGTAGTAGATTGTTTTGCCCCCTTGCGAGAGCTATGGGATGACTTCAATGACAACTTGTGTAGAGAGTATACTCCGGGCCCTACCCTCACAGTGGATGAACAGTTGATTCCATGGAGGGGCCGCTGCTCATTTCTCCAATATCTTCCGTCTAAACCAGACACATTCGGGATAAAGATCTTTTGGATCTGTGACGCAGAGAATGGGTTTCCTCTTCATGGTGAACCGTATCTTGGCAGAAAGGGGACGAAAAGACAACAAAATCTAGAAAGGGATACAGTAATAGCGTTGACCCAGCCCTACTTCGGAAGTGGGCGCAATTTGACTGTGAACAATTTCTTTACAGACCTGACCTTGAGCACTTACCTCCTCTCAAACAACATCACCTTGGTGGGAACAGTTAAAAAAACCAGGCGCTTCCTGCCACCAGAATTTAAGAGTGGAAAGGGATTGGGCAAAGGAGATGCCATCTTTGCCTTTCAGAAAAAGGCCACTATTTTAGCTTTCAAGTCAAACAAGAAGGAACATGTTGTGCTGCTCAGTACCATGCACTGTGCTGACAAATTTGACGAAGAGGTCAACAAGCCTGAAATTGTTACATCCTACAATTCCACGAAAGGAGGTGTAGGCACAATGGACCAAATGTGCCACGCCCTCACCACCAAGAGAAAAACCAACCGATGGCCAATGCTCCTCTTCTACAATATGCTAGACCTCGCCTCTGTAGCATCTTTGAATATCTGGAGAAAGATCGCCCCAGAGGACAAACTGTCCAAAGAGGACAACAGAATTCTGTTTAATTTAGCTTTGGCAAAGGAGCTGACAGGACCTCTTCTACAAATACGACACACTGTCCCAAATCTTCGCAGAGATCTGAAGCACACCATTGCTATTGCCATCAAGGATTGTGGACTCCAGCTTCCAGAGCAGCCAGTGGACGAAGAGGTCGGCTCAAGCCGAAAGCGTGGACGATGCCATGTTTGTCCTCGGAAAGATGACTCCAAGACAACCCAACACTGCTCTCTTTGCCATAGACACACTTGCTCGAAGCATATATGGAAAATCTGCTCATCGTGCCTCGCTAATGAAGGTAAGAAAAGGTGGCGGTAGCCTACATCATTGTTGATTGGTCTGATCTTCCTGGGTTGTTTTTTTCTACAGTAGAACATGACTATAGCGGGACCTTACTGGAATCCCCTTTATTTTTCTATGCAAACTCAATTGCCTGTGCTCGGGTTTAGTGGGGCAAGGAAAGGTCCGAACTCAGATACAGCGGGAGAGATCGAGTGAGTTCTAGCAGGGGGGAAGAGGGTTGGGGGGTGAGGGGGCTTTAGGCAGGCTCCAAACAGGCAGTCAACGGTGCAGTGTTGTGATTGGCCAGTCCAGTTATAAGTGAGGTGGGGCAGGCGACAGAGAGAGATGGTGCGGAGAGACACGTTACGTGAGCCAATCCAAAAGTGATGTGCCGTGGCTTAGACGCTCAGGATGAGAGCATATAGGCCTAGGCTAGGCCAAAAAGTAAAAGAAGAGGAGAGCATGTAGTGTGTGATTCCTAATTCATTGAATTGCGATCATTGATGCTCATAGGTATACGCACGCATCCACTTCACCAGTTCTACAGTAGGTACGATAGACAGCACTAGCAACAAGACCGAGGAAAAGATGGCTTCCAACACAGGCAAAAGGAAATGCTTCTCACCTCAATTAACGGCCGAGATAATCAACGACGTTGACAAGAAAAGGAAGACTAATCTAAAGCGTAAATTTTATTTATTGAAGGGAGGTAATCATGTGGATTTAAAAAAATTGGGGGAATAATTTCCCCTTTGCATGCCTACAGCAGGAACTCGCCTTCAGCGGGATTTTTCTTGTAGAACCAAAAGTCCCACTATAGCCGTGTTCTACTGTACTGTAGTTTTCCTTCAGCTTTCACACTCTTGTTACAGTTGTTGCACTCTGGTGTGATTTCCTCTTTACCCTACTTTCCTGAATGCCTTTTGCTAGATATCATCTTCTTTGTCTACTTTCTTCATTTGAAAAGAGCTTATCCCCATAAAAATAATCTCTTCAACTGAAGTACGATACACCTGGTGCAAGTGCTACATGCAACAGATCTACCGTACAAAAAGCATGTAAACGAGCCTATGGTATGTACGCTGTTTTTTTTAATGTAGCACATGCACAAGGGGTAGCCTACTCTAGGTGCAGATGGTCAGGTTTCCTACTTTGCTCAGTATTGCGCTGTAATTGTTCCATGCTCCTTCTTTTCTTTGTTACTATTTATCACCCTCAAGGGGATTTTGTGGATGGTTTGCGGTAGCTCTGGTGTAGTCTGCTCTTTCTATGTCTTTCTACGTCTTGCTGTTGTCAGAATCTACTTCCTGGAGCTGAATGGCCTAACAGTAACTTATAGTGTTGGAAAAGCCTTCCTCATTAAAGTTAAAACATATACCTGTACAACATACACAGCATTATACCAAATACTCTATTCATAACTTGACAAACACAAAAAGATGTGATCTAGAAGAGCGTCTGTGTTATGGTGGAATCAAGTGTTTGTCAATTTTTGAGCATATGGGGTTACTGGTATTGTTTTAAAGCCTGTTCATTTGCCTTTCTTTTGGTGAAAAAAATATTAATCTTTGTTGAATAGAAGTCGAAATATTTGCAATTAAAGGAGGTCAGGGTCGCCTGGTCTCAGAGATGAAATTAGCAAGAAAATGGCCATCAAAGTTTGCAATTTCCATAGCTTGAGAGTCTTTGGAAACTGAAAATTGACATTTTTTGTGCCTTTAATCAATGTTTTTCAGTAACATCTACACAGAAAATGTGATTTTAAATGGATATAAAAGGTGTTAAGCCAAAGAAAGAAAATTTTGTAAAAATTATTCAACGGTCAGAAAAATGCCAATTTCTTTGATTTCATTATTTTGATGAGCGCCTGATTTCACTACGATGCCTCACATTTAATTATTTTTTCAGGGCTCTGCGTCTGGGGTCCTTCCCTTCCCCCACAGGGTCTGATGTCCCAAGAGACTAGCCATCTCGACGAAGGTCACGAAATGGTTCTGGGGAACAAATGAAAATGTTCAACTGCATATTTTTTCTTGTTGGTTAATAAATCATGTTCACTAAGAAGTACAGTATCTCAGTTTCTCACTTTTTGTATGGCTATTATTCACTAGACTGGAAAATGACATGTTGTTCCCCCACCAGGGCAGTGCTACCGACTGAAATGTCTTCAGGCCATTCCCAACGGGGGGGATACCCCCCGAGGCGGTGCCACTGACTGTCTTTAGGCTATCCCAAAGGGGGGACATTTCTTGTTCATGCATAGTAGAATTGTAAATGGGCTGATTCATCAATGTCACGCTCATAACTGTGCCTGATCTACAATTGGGAACTGCTGCTTTTTCTTTCCTAATCCTTACTATTGTCATTTTTGCTCTACTTCTTTTGTATGTTTGTCACACTCTTGTGACCCACTATTTCCAGGGTGCTTTAATAGTCGAAGCAGACTTTGTGCTGTTGAAGCTAGAGAGGTGAGCAGAGAAAGTCTGATTCCCTGTAAGGACTTCTCTCTTGACATCCACCCCTTGGCGTTCATATGCCCTTATGCAGTTGCGAGCGCCGTAAAATCTCTTCTAAAACTAAAAGGAGGAATATGTTTTTATGCACAGTAGAATTGTAGATGGGCTGATTTATCAATGTCGTGCTCATACTACTGTGCCGCAACAACATAGGGGGGACCGCTGTTGATATCCACCACTTGGCGCTCATGCGACCTTTTGCAGTTGCGAGTGCCGTAAAAAAAACTTTCTAAAACATAAAACAGTTAAATTGTTTCTGTTTAAGGGCACGTGGGTGGCGGGCGCTCTGGTGTGGTGTTCTTCTTTGTGTTTGCTACTATTGCTTTCATCTGTTTCCTAGTGTTGAAATTACATTACAGTGCCGATCGTCCCTTAAAACCCCAATAAACTCTTAACACGCTGTTTCGGGTTGCCAGAGTCTGGCCACATACTGTTACTGTAGGTGATACAAGTGAGTCACAGCTACAGGTTGCGACTTCAGTGCTTTCTTGTCATATTTCCTTTTTTTAAACAGTGAAAACAGTTCATAACAAAGAGTGATCTTAAGAAGAAATCACATTTTCACTTTTGAAAAAAATTGGAGATATGACAAGAAAGCACTGAGGTCACGAGGTGGTAACCTGGTTCGATCCCGTAGGTCCATAGTCATGAGCGAATGGTTCCTTTGTTGGCTTTCGAAGTCAAAATGACTTACCAAGGGATTATCGTCATGCTGGTAGTCATAAGCCCCCAGCTGGCCGCTCCTCCTCTTCGTCATGGTGGACTGCAGCCCCCACAGTCTCTCTGACCTCAGTAGGCCAGACTCTCGGACTTGCAGCACCTCTCGCATCAACTGCCATCTGTTCCAACGGGCCTGTCGGGACAGATAGGCTGAAATGACAAAACTAATAACAGTATAACACGGATAGCTCAAATTCTTCCTGACCGGCCTCGGTATTTCGAGGGATATCTTACAAAGATAGAAAAGGGAAAAAACGGGACTGCAAGCACAGTTCGACAGACGCATGATTTTGAGTCATTTGTGTTCGACCTATCCGTGTTATACTGTATGAGACTTTGGGTTTGGGTTGACACCACGTTTAAGTTAAACACACATAATAAATAATAAGTAGGTTAGTCTTTTCATAGGTGGAGCACTTGCTCTCCCTCTCTCTCTCTCTCTCTCTCTCTCTCTCTCTCTCTCTCTCCTTCTCTCTCTCCCTCTCCCTCTCTTTCTGCCCCACCCCCAGTTAGTGCACAGGGCAGTGAAGAAAAACCCAGAAAAGTACAGTAAAGTCGATGGGTCTTGCCAATTTTATGTCACTATCGACATAGGCGTCATTATAAGAGAGGGCTAAACTTGAGTGGAAGGAGCAGAAAAAGGACGATAGCAAAGTGCAAAAAAAAAAAAAGAAAACAACACAATAGAACCCCCTTCCTTAGTCAAGAAGAGTCTCAAATAAACAACTGGGTCGGAACAACTAATGCAAGATGAATTCAAAACTAGATCTACGTTTACGATTCTCACAATGAGTGTAATCGATTACATACCCTGTGAGAAAGTTTTGTCCCGCCTCAAGTCTAGAACTGAGAGAGAGAGAGCGAAGTTCTAGAACTGAGAGAGAGCGAAGTTCTAGAACTGAGAGAGCAAACTAATTTTGGGCCAAACTTTCTGTAACGAGTATAAAAGCTTGTGCGACATTAGTGCTAACCGGTTGAACCTTCGACACATCCACAAAACCAATAACAAAAACAAACTAACCTCTGTTCGCTTAAGGCTCTGTGCAACACACTTGCCGCCATCTTGGATTGTAAAGCCTTTCGATTCCAGCGTGAGTTTGATTACTTGGGGTCGTTAGTTACCCCGCAGGGTACGGATCGGAATAACAAGTAAATTTCCTCTTTCCTCTTTGGAAAATGGGGGTACTGAGTACCCCGCATCGAATGGATACGATAGTAAAACATAGTGTACGGATACGGTTAATTATTTCATTGCTTTCTTTGGTGGCTGCCATTTGTCCAGATCCTGAATTTCTTGAGAAAAGATTTTCTCAGAAGGGCATAGGTTTAAGTGGTCAGTCCTGGCTAGCAACAACGGAATGTTGATAGAGTGTGAGACCTGTAAGCCTTGGCAGATGTGATCAAGTTGGCGGAGAAAGAAACAGAAGTAAACTTGTGAAGTATAGTGTGTGTCATTTCTTCTTTAACTCATTAACCATAGCTTTCTTTCTCCATCTCAAGACCCGTCTGTGGTGTAGCGGTTAATAATTTTGCTATGGCATACAGGAGACCCAAGTTCAATTCTTGATTATGGAGAATTTCTATCAGTTGTCTGTCTTTCTTCTGGGATGCTGTATCCCTCTCAGTTAGGGTTGGCCTTGACAAGCACGGTCAAAGCCTGCCGACTAAATGATCTAAATTGTGTTGATAGAGACGTAAAAACACCTACATTTGATTTTTTTTCCCTCTCTATGACAGGACATTGACGTGGTGAATGTGCCAGACCACAGTGTCCTGAAAAGACAAGAGTTGCAGCCGGGCACTGCCTACAAGTTCCGTGTGGCTGGCATCAATGCGTGTGGCCGGGGGCCGTTCAGTGAGGTGTCTGCCTTCAAGACTTGTCTGCCTGGTTTCCCTGGAGCGCCTTCTGCCATCAAGATCAGCAAGGTGAGAAACTGTTTGATTCTGTCAGGTCTGAGTGTAGTGCGACTTTGCTGTCGAAATATCTAGTCTGAGGCATCTTCAATGTAGGTTTTCTCTTTTGCATCTGATTTTGTTGTTATGCAGAAAAACAAACAAGCAATTTTCGAAAGATTTATTCTTTTCACAACTTCTGCTATGCAGCTATTTTTAGTCGTTTAGAGGCCGTCGGGTGTAGTTGTATTGATTGCTTGGTTTTCAACGGGGTTTTTTTTTTACAACCAGGGTTAAGGTAGATGGTTGTAGGATGCCCTGATAAGCCCTACTTTTTTACCTTCCCTCTGTTGTTTCTGTCTGTTTTACTTTTCCCCAGCACTTAAGTACCATTATTGTGTCAACGAGCGTCTCTTTACTCCAACAAACCACAAAAAAAAGCCCCCAGCTTTAAGCATGACGTTTCCACATGTTTGTATCGTGTTGTTGTTTTTTGTCCCCACAGAGCAGCGACGGTGCGCACCTGTCCTGGGAGCCTCCCCAGAACACGGCGGGCAAGATCATAGAATACAGTGTCTACTTGGCCGTACGCAATCAAAACACGGAGACCAAGCCCGGCACACCTGCACAGCTTGCGTTTGTGCGCGTGTTTTGCGGGCCCCTTCCCTCCTGTGTGGTAGCCAACTCATCTCTCACCTCTGCTCACATTGACTACACCACCAAGCCAGCCATCATTTTCCGCATCGCAGCTCGCAACGAGAAGGGCTATGGACCCGCCACACAAGTCAGGTGGCTGCAGGGTGAGTGTCTGAAGGCTTGACCAGGGCTTCCAGTCTTCCGCAATTTTGCGGATTTCCGCAAATTAGCAGAATTCTGCAAATGGAAAAATTTCCGTAAAAATTTGTGCCCCCCCCCCAAAAATTATTTTCAAAAATGCGAAATACAAAATTTCCGTTATTACCAATAGTCAACAAAGGCCAACCCATACCGGAAGTGCTCTTTTATTTGAAAGTATAGACAGTGTCTTTCACTTTCTAAAGCTCAAGAATCAGAGCACCAGCTCTGTAAACAAGAGGAAGAAATGACGATTATGGTTCTAGATCTATCGATCTTGGGCCTTCCAAGAAAAGAAAACTCTAAAGAGAGCTTGATTATTTTTTTTTACCAGACTTGTTTATTTGTAAGTATTGTTGTGGATTTAAGTTGATATAGATCTAGATCTAGATCTAGCTGTCCAGTTATTTAGATCTACATCTAGATCTAGACTAGATCTATATCTAGATCTAGATCAAGTCAAGCTGTTATACTGGATTCTGAATCTAGCTAATCTAGACCTACACCTTATGATGATTATTGTGCAAACCAACACAAGCAGAAAAAAGTTGAACATTAACTGTCAAGTTTTATAGATCTAGTTGTGGATGTACAGTATCTGTACAAGGGAGAAAGCATGGCTTTGGATTTGGAAATATATGGATTAACACAAGCAGAAAATTATGTAGGCTAGGTCTACGTTCTAGGTCTATGCAGTATGCAAGGTATGTTTTTTTTTCTCACTTATTTTCTTGTTAAATTTAGGCTTGAATAGCCAGAAAAGGCATACTTAGGATGCCCTGAAACCAAAAATTCTCAAACGTAAAGGGGGCGCTGTCCCCCTTCAACCCCCTGCTAGGGCTCCGCCCTGGACCCGATAATCCTCGAAAAATGACATCAGCTGCTGGAAGCTCTGCTTGACGTATTTGAAAATGGAGCAGAGGCCTCTTTTTCTTCAGAAGCTGATCCTTTTATCCTTCACCTAGGATGAATGTGGTCAGCTGCAATATATATCCTGAACTTCACTGTGACTGAATTTTAAAGGAGCCTGTATTTGATTGTGCATTTTAAAACTTAATTTCTGCCTGTTTGTATTCTGTTCTTGAGGGGGGGGGGGATGCGCTTTATTCAAGAGCTGTTTAGAAGGAGTTGTGTGTGTTTATTTCAGTTTGTGGTAGTTATAAGTGAAGATAAGGTTTCTTTCTTATTCATTTGTAGGCCATACTCTTTCAAAGTTTATAATGTGCCTTTCAAAATATTACAGCAGCAGTAAGTCTATCAGTTTTTTGCCCCCTACTGCCCACCGAGCAGTAATGGGTACCTGACTTGTAGTTGGGGAAGTAAGGGCAGTGTGGAAAAGAACCAGCCACCCTACCACAATATGCAGAAGGCCGAGGAAGTTGTTTCACTAACAAGGCAATCCCCGATGTCCGGATCGGATGCGGGAACAAAGCAAGCTGTACCTTCAGAACACTCTTCCTTTACAAGGGGACTCCATGGACCCGGAGTGTCTGATTATAAATTATGTTTTTATTTTTAGACCAGTTTACTAAAAGGAGTGGTGAAGTTGTGTGAAATGCACCAATTTCCTGAGAAATGTTTTCAGTTACATTATCATATGGGTTTTTTTTTTTACCTTCTTCAGATGCCTCACAGAGTCCTTCAGCTGGTGGGAAGGCTGTCAAAAGACAAGGGTCAGAGAATGTGTAAGTACATTATTACTATTTTCTATATTGTTTGTGTCAATGAGCTTCATGTAGAATATATTTTTCCCTCTAAAAAGTCCCTAAGTCTTTTCTGTGTGTTTGTTCTTCTTCCTCTCGATGTGTTCACTTGTCTGGCATTGACATGGTGTGGGTGGTTGGCAGGTGCTCTGGTGTGGTTTGCTCCTTCTTTCTTATCAAACATCTATCGTCCTTATCTCCCCTTCTTCTTTCTTATGTTCGTTATTCTCTTGTAATACCTCTCATGTTCTAGCGCTCATATGACCGTATGAGGTTGCGAGCGTCGTATAACCTCTACAAAAGAAAAATTGATATGGTCAGTAATGCAACAAACCAAGAGGAGGCAAGACAACAGTGACAAAGTTCCTATTGTAGCTTTGAAGTATGATAAAACCTTTTTTTATGAAGTACTGAACTGTCCATTCTTCCAAAAATGTTTAATTGTACACCGGCCATGTTTTCTGTAAAAAAAAAAGATAGTTTCTCAAGTTGTCTTCATTCTTTTGTTGCCTTTATTTTATGTAGCGTAAGCTATGACAAGTGTTTCGTGGCTTTTATTTATTTTTTCTCTTTGGTTTGATATATCATAATATAAGCAAAGCGCCTTTTGCTTAGCCCATTGAAGATATTCGTGGAGTGAGATTTCCAATTACTGAACCCTCAAGGGCCTTGACAAAACATCGCATTGTTTCAACTCCAAGCAGGGACTCTTTCACAGTTGTTTATCCTGCTACCAACTGAGCTGACACTAGACTCCCTGTTTTCTCTTTGTCCACAGCAAACCAGGGTCAATGGTGAAGAAACTGAAGGTGGAGGACGGTGAGAGCTAGGTGAGGTGTCCCAGGCAAGAACCCATTCCCTGTGTTTTTATACCAACGAGCTCATCCTCCTTCGTGATTTTGTGAAAGCTTCGGTCCCCCGCACCAATGGATGGTCGTCGGGCCAGGAATAAAGTGGCCTTGACCATGTTGTTGCAATGCCTGTATTGTGTGTTGGGGTTGGTGGGTGGTGATGATTTTTTCAGTCTGATATCTGTGCATATCTCCCCCCTTCGTTTTTAACCTCTATGAAAATGCTGCAAACTACTGGGCCTTTGTTTTTGAAGGCTTACATCTGTTGTACCAGCCTACACTTTCTTGACAGTTGTTACTTTTGTTGTTGTTTTGTTTTTAAGTCAGTCAGTTTTGAGAAATTCACTGTATTGTAACATGATGCTATTGTGAAATATGTGATTTGTCCTTGAAGTTTTTTGTTGTTTTTTTCTTCCTTCTGCTGCTCAACTAGAGTAACGGTCTTCACCTGCTATACTTAGTTTTTCTTACTTAATAGTTGTCAGCTTTTTTTTCAATTCTTAGAGGAACATTCACACAGACACTCATACTTCCGCAATGTTCAGTTACACCATTCCTGTTTCTATCTGCATTCTGAAAAGGTTTCAGACCAGGTGGTAAACAAACTTTAACAGAAGAACAACAGCATTCATGGGTTGATGGTGCTGTAAAGATGTAGTATGTAATGTACACTCAGTTGTCCCATTTGTTCAGTGGCTGGCTATTCCTATCGGGGGTTTTTTTGGAAGGAGCTGTGTCGTGCTTCCTTCTTCCATTGCTCGATTAGTTCAACTTGACTTGAGATTCTGATCTTCAGCTGCTTTACACTTCTTGTTATTGAACTTGCTCTAAGTCCTGATCCAGTCATGATGGGAAGCGTTAGGTTTCAAACAGGAGAGTTCTTCTACGTGGGATGCTTTGTCTTCTTCATGTAAATGCTCATGTGTTTCTACGGCCGATGGCTTGGCTTTGTGTGGGGATTGCTCCAGATGATAAAATATATCAGTGGCCCAAGAGCGACTGTGCCATTGCATACATTGTTGTTTATGGTCTACATTGTTTTGCAAAATAGTATGGAGATCCTATTTTGTTTACTTTGGTATGGATTTGTGCAGCGCAATGCTCTGTTTTATTGTTGCCACACCTGTACATATTGTTGTTGACTAGTGTTGTACATAATTGTTCAAATTTTCAAACCTGATTTGCAAATGGTGTGCCCTGTCATTTGATATCGAGTGACACTTTGTGTTCATTCACAAATTTAAGATTTGTATTTTTATTTCTTCCAAACTTTTAACTCACAATATCGTTGGTGGAAAATTGACAGGACATTTTGCAACGGTACATAAAGTATGTAATAATGGTGTCCTTATGCGGTACTATCGCTTCGATAGTTGAAAAGGTGTCCGGAGAAGAAAGTTCACCATTTCCCCTGGCGCAGTTGATAAGCGACGTCATCAGCCTGTCACAATTTCACGTTTTGACCAGATCGATACTTGTGCTGTATTTTTGTAGGTGAGTCGGATCTTGTGCAAAAATGTGTAAATCATGAATCGACTGGGTCGAGATTGTTTGTAATGTTTCCGAGTGAACCAATGTTGATATCTTTTTGTCATGTTTCTTATTGCAACAAATGTACTTTTTAGATATATCAGCACCGTTGCCGTTCCACCACCACTCAAAGTAAAAACCAAATAGTTTGAAGCCTGAGTCTGTAATGTTCCCTGAAGAGAAATGATCGAGGATTTTTTTTTCTGCGACAAAATTACCGTTTGTTGCATGCCTTCCATATTCCCTTTCAAGTCCAAGAATGGCAGAAGTATTGGTGACATTGTCACAGAAAAATGAAGTAGCTCACATAAGGAGGTCCTGGCTAGTGTAGCTTTGACTGACCCCTGTTGCTGTTGCTGCGTCTCACACTTCCATTGTAGATTTCACCCTTCTTTTCTCTGGAAAGAAGGTGACAATTCATTCATTGATGACTCTCGCTGTAAAAGGGACTTGTCTAGATTTGTGCGTACTGCAGTGTCTGGGAATCTAAGGGTCATTGTCAGAACATCCTCTGCTCATTGTTTCATTTATTGTTGGGATTCCTAGTTTCGTTTCCATTGTTTCATTATCATCATAATAGATTTCATTTACCCTTGAATAGTATCACGTGTGTCGGTTTGTTCCTAATTCTTTCAACTTCTTTGGTCTTCTTGTGCCCGTCTCTCTTTTTCTCTTGTGTTGGTGTTGCTATTGTTTTTTTCAACGGTGCTTCCTTTCTTGACACACTGAGTTTGGGTTTTTCGCTCGTCGCTCCCCGCCTTTTCTCGGAACTCCCAGCTATATGGTCCTGTTTATAAGCCAGGGATGTCCTGAGGCCAGGCTGTGATGGGCTTGAGGTGTGTGTTGTTTATTATTCATCCATGTGTATACCCATAAGCTTTTTGCTGTCGTTTTCATGAGTATACTGATGGTGACTATGTCCCATGGGGCTGGGGGAAGTGAGGCCGGCGACGTTTGAGTGTCCTCTGAAAAGAGGTAGACAAATATGGAAAGGCCACTGGTGGTTCTGTATAGAGGAAAGTTGTCGTGTCATTTCCAGTGCAGGGAGCTTATTTTCTCTTATTATCGAATTTTACAGTGAGGCGGGTTGTTTTTTTTAATGAGTTGTGAGAGGGAAATGGTATCGGTGTCAGGGTTTTTTTCCTCCGGTTTCCTTGCCTTGCAGTGTGCACTATTGAGACCAAGATTGTTAAATGGGTCTATGTAACCTGAAACTCAAAGGTTATTTCTTGTGTCTCACTCAGTATGTAGAGTTGTAGCTGAGCTGTTTGTGAGACAAATTCAGTGGCACCTCTCTTAGTGCAGATGTACTTAGTGTACCCGTCATCTCTTCTGTGGAATGTTTCATTGTCCTGGTTGCTTACATTGGGTGGGGGGGTTTTTTAATTGTGAAATTTATAGTTCCTTTTTAGTGTGTCTCATTGTATCGCTAACAAATATACATTGACATCTGAACCTTTCACTTCATCATAGAACACAGAATGGAGAAAATGGCCAGATTTTCTTGTTATGGTTGAATAAGATTTGTGTTGTCCTTTTGAAGAATGGCATGCAAACAATATAGCTTCATTTACTTTTTAATAAAAAGACTGTTTTAATAGATTACATCTTTGTACAAGTATTAACTAAAGAGAAGTTTGTTGAAGCTTGATATCTTTACTACGCATGTGTCATGTGATTTGAGCCAACACTTTCGTGACCAGGGTGGTTTCTGTTTGCCGTGGTTATCCTTTCCCCTCAACTTTCATGTAGTACTGTTTGCTTCTTGATATTATTTTGTTAGTAAGAAGCAAGCAGTGTTTTATGCAATGGTTACTTGTAAGGTTCTTACAGTGAACTTATTCTTTTAGAAACATATGGGGAAAAAACAACATAAAATGTGTGCTCCTGTCCTTTAAAAAATTCTGCAACAGGAATCTACTCTCTCTTTTGCGGGTTTTATTTTGTTTTCTTCTGTTGCAGTCCCTTTTTTACTATCCTGATTTTCCGTGTCATTTTATTTGCCAAGATTCAGTAAATTATTTTGTTCATAGACCAGTTGTTGATTTCAGAAGTCATAAATCTTTGTTTTGTTTGTCATTTTTAACATAAGACTAGGGCAATAACTCGCTGAAATGCTGACATAAAAAAAAAACTCTTCTGTGAATGGAATAAAAGCATGTTTCTACCTTTGTTCTACCCTAGTATCATAGAAATTGGGTTGTTCTCAAATGTTGCAACCCTGGAATTTCCAAGAATTGCTAGGTAAATTGGCTCAAAGGTTTGTAAATATGTAAGTAGTCATTGATCATAATACCATTTTATTGTCATTGTTTTTTTCCATGCTTCATGTTGCTGTATAGACCACTGTTATCAGTTGCATATATTGATTTTTTTTAGTCTTCTATGATAAAGCAATTTTATGGAGGGGCTGGCATGGTGTTTGATAAATAAAAAGTTGATCAACTTTTTGTTCGATGGAGAAAGTGCACACTTTTCCCGCTCCTTCCATCTGGGATTCAGGTCTCTCTTACTTAGAAGTCTAATTTAGGACCAATTCTTGGTGTAGCTGATAGGTTTGTGTGGCTTTGCAGCCCTCACATGCTGAAGCTGGGGACTTTCACCGATGTTACTCGTTTGCGTGGAATAAATTGGAAGAGTTTGTTTGATAAATGCTTACTTTTAGATTTGGTGGTTTGATCGTCTTGTACTTGAAAGGTTTCTATTGTCATTGCTTCAATGTCATACTGTGTGCGTATGACTATGGTGTCCTTGCGGACAGTGGGCTCACATTACCACGTCTCTGTGCTTAGTATTAGTAACAAGCAATGTCATCTCTCTCTGTCTCCAGTCTGGGGGTGACAACTACCTTTTTGTGTCAATGGGGGCGCAAAAAACACCTAAATTAAAAAAAAAATGTATCATCTATGTTAACCATTTTATCCATCTTTTTCACTGATAGTTAAGGTTCCCTGTTGGTCCATTGCAGATGTAGTATTCTGCTTTTGCTGCCTTCCTATTCGATTCAGTTAAATGAACTAGTGTTCAAAGAATCCCACCGTCAATGCACTAATCAGACCTACTATAAAGTGTGAGTGTTAAACAGTTTGCTGACTTAATCAATGTCATGTTTTGCGCTGGGACGTGGAAATGTAGATGTAGTTGCAGGTGATACGGATAATTATTAGTCTTTTAGATTGTTGCTCTGACAGTTCTGTGCTTGGGCTTTGGCTGGTTAGGTTCTCTGCCACTTTTCATCATCCTGTCTCCAAAGGTTCATGCCGTACTGTGGCTAGTTTAATGATGATAGCACTGAATTTTCAAAAACGCAAGTATGGTTTGCATTGTCAGTTGTGGTCTGAGCTGATTGCGGAGCGGTCTGGGATAAAAGTATCTCACTTTGAAATATATTGACTTTATCGTGTGGAAATTTTCTCTGCCCCTGCTGTGTCTCAGTGTAAGTCTGGTTGGTTTACTCTGGGAGGATGAGGGATAAACAGTTTTGTTGGAGAAGATGTGAGAGAATTTGGCTTCCGTCTTTTGTGTATGTCAATGACTACTGTTGAATTGTTCTCTGCATAAGACTCCATGGTCACCTTTGAGGGGCAGCATAAATGATCTTTCACTTTCACTATATCTTTGTGTGTGATTCGAGGAGAACCTTGATTGTCTCTGGATACTGAGGGTGCTACTTTCCTTACATTTTCAGAATGTTCGAGTTGAGGGGGGGGGGGGGGGGGTGTATTCCAAGTTTTTGAGGGGGAGGGGGGTGTTTTGTTTTGTTGTTGTTATTTGGTATGTTTTATGGTACCTTTGTCCATTATATCTCTACCAGTAAGTCTTTGATCTCAACTTTCTGTTTTTATGTTTTGTTTTAAGTGACCTGTCTGTTTTCTCCCAGAACTTAAAAGACTTATTTATTTGTGTTGCAAGTGTTTTAAAACTTACTGTTTTCTTTCTCCTTACTGGCAGTGGTAGACCTGGTTTTCTTTGACAACTTTCTCTTTCTTGTAGGGAGATGTGGTAAAAGTTATTGTCTTCAATAAGTCTACGGCTGAGTGTAAGAAATGACTATTATTCTACTTTTCAGTTTTTGAAAAAAAACGAGTTTGAAATTTCTATGACATAGTTACATAGTATAGAAAAAAAGAAGAGAAGAAGCTTTAATATCTCTTTACCAAATCAAGCTACGGCTTAGGTATTTACAGAGGTGAAAGAGCAGCTTAAAATCTCACTTCCCAGATCAATTACCTCATTTCGACCAAAAGGGGAATATAGTCACTTCTTTCGCTCAGCCAACAAAATGTTACCACGGGTCACACTGGTTTCTAGGGGACAAGGGTTAAGTGTCTTTGACTTTGAAAGAATGGGGATGAGTTTGCTCTCACGGCTCAGATGTAATGAAGATATTAAGAGTGGTTGTGGTAGTGTGTAGTGGTACCATGTGTTCAAAGATTGGTCTATTTTCTCACTGCTACTTAAAGCATATTGTTTCATAGTTTTTGGAGGAGACAAGTGCATGGATTCCTACTCCCCGTGGCTTCTGGGTGAAGTATTCATTCATGGCATCACATGAGATGTTTTTTGTTGGGGGGGGGTTTTATCAGCTGACATTTTGTCACTCTGTCTGGAGTTAATGCACCGTTGTATACTTTGATTGAAATGCATGTGTGGCGTCATTTAGTCTCATTTCATCCTGTCACATGACCGAGGGGGGGGCTGCTTGTGGGACTATGCTGAAGAAACGAAAATCCTTGTACAGAAAGCTGTATAAAAACACCTGCTTGTTGCTTTTTGCAGATTATTTAAATATTTCTCATGTATTGGCGATGATTGTTTTCTCTATCTACCAATATTGCGCTGAAGATATTGTGGTCTACTGTCTGTTCAATTCTAAGAATTCTAATGCTATCAACATGAGCTTTGGCTCTTTAGGTTTATTTGGGGTTTTTTTTAATTCAGCATATTGTCTGAGTAAGTTGTTTAATACTATGCTACCCACTGCACTGAGCATTCCTCCTCAAGAGTTTTCATTTGTGGATCTTGTTGCTTTGTTTGGTTTAGTTTGGGTTTTTTAATGGAGTTTTTCCTTCTTCCTTGATTTCGGCTTTTCTGTGGCATGAACACGTCTTAACTGAAGTCTTCTCAGTTGGTTGGTTTGTCGTTGTACACACCAGGATGTTAGAGGGATTGTGGTCATCAACAAACTTGGAAAAAAGCGTTTTTGAAACTTACGAACATTATTTCACTACGTTTCTCTCTCATCTTTTTTCACTCTTCCTCTCTGTTCTTTCATGTTTCGGTTGTCAAACACCACATTGAAGCCCTTGTTTTCTGTTCTACAAATGCCAGAGCCTTCGTTTCTTTCCAACATCTTTATTAAAATTTTCACGTTAGTTTTGGTCACTAGTCTCATTTATGAAAAATGCCTGTATCTGACGGTGGATTGTAGAAACATTGGGGACAAAAAGTCGCAGAAGAATGACAACTTGTACAATGTATATAGTATTGCCATCTTTTTATGTTCCATTATTATTACCATAAATAAAGATCATATTTTAAATGTTCATTGCTCCTTTGTGTTTTTGCATTAATAATTATATAAAATCTTGTTTGTTATTGGTTTAACATGCTTCTCCCACCCTCTGGTGGATGGTTGGTGGGTGCTCTGGTGTTGTTTGCTCCTTTTCTATCAAACGTCTATCGTTCTTATCGATCCCTCTTTTCTTTGTTATTTTCTAATAACACCTCTAATCTTCGGCACTTATATAATCTATTAAATATCTGCCATTCTTATCTATCTGCCCTTTCTTTCTATGTTATTTTATAACACTTCTAATTCTCAACACATATATCTCTCTCTTCTGGCGCTGTGGCTTCATAAACGGTCAGCGATGCCGACAGCACGGAGGTACTCAACACTTGCCCGGGGGTCCATAAAAAGTGCTAAAAGTGGGTTACTGAAATGTCCCTGCAGACGGGTTCTGGATAGCTGGCGGGACATCTCAGGAACACATGGTCCATAGTTTCGTCCTCCTTGCACGCTCGACAGGATGGGTCTGGGTTGTCTGCTGGCGCAATTTTGTGGAGATATGATCTCAGCTTGGGCGATTTTCCACCAGTTCTCATTTGGGAGAGAAGCCGGCAGTCCTGTCGTCTGAGCGAGGCCTCAAGCTGGTATGATGGTGGCTGGGCAAACGGCAGTTTGGGTTTCGCCTCTCTTTTCCACTTTGCGGGGGTTGATCGGTGGATGACGACTCTAGCTGTTGAGAAATCTATTGGCGTGTCAATCTGAGTAAGTGCTGTTGCTTCTTTGGCGATGCTGTCAACTTCCTCGTTCCCAGCCAGTTCAGCGTGGCCTGGAATCCACTGTAAGTGGATGGAACATTCAGAGCGTTGACAGAGGGTGTGCAGATGCTGCCAGATTGAGCATGCCACCTTTTCCGATTGGTTGTAGAGTCGTATGAGAGGCGCATGACTGCTGACCTAGAATCTGTGTATACATGGATGCGTACACTGTTCATAAGGCTGCCTGCTGTATGTAGTGCCACATGCATGTCCAGCGCTGTGTCGAGAGCTACAAGCTCGGCCCTGTAACGAACAATACCGGCCCGCGGGGACACGTTGGTCGAGTACGGTTTCACCGGTCTTGATCAGTATTCCACTGCCTCCATACTCAGAACCGTGCTTAGCTGAACCGTCAGTCCAGACTTCTACATCAGGCAGGGGGAGCGATCGAATTGTAGCCTCTGCTGCTGCTTTCCTGACGGCTGGTTCATTAGCACGCTTGCAGTCGACGACAAAATCGGTGCTAAAAGTCACGTTGCATGATGCAGCCTTCCACGGTTGTGTGGGGGGTAAAACAACCAGCTCCTCACGTGGGTACGGATCCAGTTCAGTTTCGGCTACGAGATTCTGGGCATGCTTTCTCCAGTTTGACTTGCCTGTCCGCGTGGGCACTGATTTTGTTGCGGAGGCTCTGCGTTGGTTTGTTGCAGGCAGACGCATGGACTTCTCGAATGAGATGGCAGTCAAGGCATCAGCTCTATGCCTTAGTGGTAAAATGTCTGCTTCGATGAGGAGGCTGTCCACACGAGTATCCTTTGAGCAGCCCGTGATGATTCTTGCTGCTTCATTCTGCTTTCTTTCCAGTTTCTGCAGGTTGGAGGGTTTGACAAGAGGCAAGTTGGCAGGGGCACAATAGTCGATAGCTGACCGACAAGTAGCATAATATATTGGCTTTATGCATTCCCTTGAGGCACCCCAGATGGTGCCTGTAAGAGCTTTCAATGGTCAAAGTCTGCTTGACCGTTTTAGCTCAAGGTTTTCGATGTGGGCGTTACTCAAGTAAGTTTATGGCTGCTTGGACACTGTTTTCAGCCTGATGTATGTCTTCGTTGGTGGCGTATATTGTATATAGTCATCAGCATAGAGTCTCGTCTTCATGGCTTCAGGCAGGCCTGCTTCAATATCATCAATAAAGACAAGGAACAGTGTGGGGGACAGGACGCTGCTCTGGGGGACTCCCTGCTCGAAACGGCGAAGCCTGCTTGTTGCGTTGCCGTGCTCGCCGCAGGCGTATCTGTCTCTGAGGAACGAACCTATCCATTGGGTGATGCGGCTGGGAGTAGATTTCTCAATCATCTTCTCTATTAACCTCGTGCGCCATACCTTGTCGAAGGCACGCGAGAAGTCCACGACGGCTAGCACAGTTCGTTGCATTTTGGGACGAGCCTGGAATCCGTCTGAGATATGTTGTGTTAGGCACAGGACTTGGTCTTCAGTAGACCGTAACTTGCGGAAGCCTGATTAGTTGTTGCTCTCCAGAAAGTACATCAGGCGGTTCTTGACGAGGGTCTCCATCAGCTTAGCAAGCAGCTGGTGAGACTGATGGGGCAGTAGGACTCAATCTTGTCT